TTTCTAGCCCTGTGCTTGATACTTATCTTTCAAGGCTTATTTTTTTATACTACACAAGCCTCTCCTTGTCTTCTTTAGTTTTTTATATGTCCTTCGAGTCGTTGACTCGTTATTTGTCCTTCGACCTATTTATTCTCTTTCTATCTCTCTTCTATCTCTTAAGTTTTTCTAAGTTTTCTAATATAACTTCGTTAATATTGTTTTATTAAATTTTTGAGGAAATTTCATCCATTGCTTCTGTAAATAGTTACTCTACATACTAAAGTTGGCATATTTTTAATTACTTACTTTGATAACAACAAAAATATTTAAGACAGCTTCTTTCTTGGTGAAAATGTAAGTTTGAGTCACAATCTTAATTTCTATCATTTTCATGATATAAATATAGAATCGGACAATTTAATAGATCAATATAATTGACTACCTATGAGTAGTAATTACATTAATTGGTGCTGCATAAACTAATCAGTTGATCAAAATTATGATTAAATTGATTAATGAAAATTACTGTATGTGATAATTACTGTTTACAATTATTCAAACAATCTATTAATTAAAATTCTGATTATATCAACTGTCACAAAAATAATCAACTAATCAAAATTTGTGTTTCTGATTATTACTATTTTTAGATATTCCAACTATTTAAGTGATCTAAATATTGCAACCAAAGATGCTTACACTGTCTGTCATAGCAAAGATACTAAGGCTATCTGTCACTTTCACTCATTTCTAACTACTGGCTAGAGGGAAAGCAACTGGCTTGGCAGCACCCATGACCAACCTTTATTTGTTATCATACTACGAACTATAGAGAAAACAACTGTCTGATAGCACTCACCCCAAAAGTTTTTGTTTGTTTGTTGTTGTTGAACTCCTGACTAGAGGGGAAAGTAATTGTTTGTTTGTTTTTTAATTGAAGGTACCTTGGTTTGAGGAACACTTCACTAATCAATTAAACAAATGTAACTAATTAATGTGGGTGTCCATTAATTGATTAGCAAATACCACTAATTACTCAACTTTAAGGGTGTAAAGTATTATTCAGTACAGGTCTCTGCCAATTTTCTTTGTTCTCATGTTTTCTTTGTCTAAGACTAAGAAAGCTTTTAGAGCTCCAGCAGAATTATTGTTATTCAGGCATCTGCCTTAAGCAAATGCATTTTTTACTTGTTTTAATTTGAATTAGAGTAGAATCAGGGTTTCAAGGGAACCAGACTCTCATGATATATTAAAGTTGATTCACAATAAAATCCAAGCCTTGCTTCAATTTTACTTACTTTGTTTGTATACAGACTTCTTTCTTAATTTTTTGGCGTTATTTTTAGTGCACTGCTTTTTTAATTTATAGTGAAGGTTTCTTTTCACTGCTCTCATTGGTTCCACATGCCCATGAGACATTTGCCTTTACTTCTGGTATTGCTCTATGTTGCAGGGAATTATTTTGCACTCTACTGTGTTTTATTTATTGTTGTTAGTATCCATTTTTATCAATTTGGATATTTATGTCTTTCTTGTTTACTTGTGTGATGAACCAAGTTGAAGATCATAGAGAAGCAGAGCCTTCAGTTAGCAGTCCTAGCTGCCTACTCTGAAGTGCACCCGCAAGCTGGAAAACACGACATCTACTTGATGTATAATGAAGCTAAGCTTCTGAAAATCCTGGTGAAAATACAATGCAGATCAAGACAACTGACCTTGCCAAAAATACCTCAAAATTAATAAAAAATTCTTTGCTTTAAAATGGAGAACTTATAATGAATAATTTAAAGGTGACAATCACAGAATTGGTCATGAATATGTTAAATTTATTAGGATAACAAGAAACAATGCCAAAAACAGGAAGGTAAGAACTGAAGGTAGAACAGGTCCATAACCTCTTTTATCAAAAGAAAATATTCAAGCAGGTGAAACAAAACAAAGCTGTGAAAAAACAATCTCACAAGAGTTTTAGACTTCTTGTGACCAAAAAATAAACAGGATGGAGGAAACTTTTTGTTAGAATTTATAATTTTCATTGGTTTCACTGGATTTGGTAAATTTTAATAAGCCTGTAGATTTTAATAAAAGTTTGTTTAAGTTAATTATGAACAGTTGCATCTTGAAAATAATAGTAATGATAATAATAAAATAAAAGCACTGAGAATCTAGAATTGGTTAAATTAATAACAACAGGGAGGAGCTGATGCTATTATTTAGCGTTGGTTGATCATTAAAAATGGAAAATGCCTCCTTTATTAAATAATTCATAATCTGAGGTTCTGGAGTCAAGAATTTTAAATTTTTCATGAAGTATGGGGTGGTTGTTTGTTTATACTTATATTTAAACCTTTCTTTATAATGTTTTCTCTTAACAATATTATTACCCATACACCAAATATTTTATTGTACATTTCAATATACTGTGACTGTTTAAATCAGTTCTTTCTGAACTTCTGATTATTTAAAAAGACTATTTGCTTTACAGGTTATTTGTAGCTAGAATATTGTAAAGTAGCTTTTTTGAGGTTTTAACACTGATGATAGAATTTGAAGCAATTCCAAAACATCCATAATTAAAGATTTTTTTTGGTCTAACCATGTTTTCAATACTTATTATCAGTCACATAATAACGGATATAATGGAGCATCTATAGCAAAACTTTCTTCCTGTTTATAAACTTTATTCTTAATTTGAAAAAATGGATTTCTAAACATGTTTCAAAAAGGTTAATCGTATCAGATATCTCTAAAGTTGAATTCTTATTTTTTCAATTTATTCCTAAAACATGGAATGGCTTTTTCCACAGGAGCTTTATTGATCAGTGAAACAACATCAATATACTGAAACATCATTTTCATCTAGCATTACATGTTAAATTCGTTCAACAAATTTTAATGAATTCTTAACTATGTATCTTATTTTTATTACTACATAAAATAATAAAAAAATACTTTGAAAATTTAAAGAGTTTAAGGGAACAAGATGAGGTTATTTGTAAAGCTGATAAAAGGGGTCTCAAACTGTATTTGCAAGATAACTGAAAGTTGATAATTTCAAAACAGGAATAGGGATCATCAAAAAAGTACAGAAACAAGTTGAACCAAAATGAAGATTATATTTCCAACTAGGGACTCTAAAAAGTAAACAAACTAGGCTGGAAATAATGTCTGCATTATTTTCTCAAGGTACAAATTCCTATTTTGACTCCATGTCTATGGTACTTATCAATTTTAGTGGAGTCAAAATAGGAATTTGTTAATTTGAGAAAATAATGTAGGCACTATTTCCAGCCTAGTTTGTTTACTTTTTTTAGAATCCTTTGTTGTAGGCTTGAAAATATAATCTTTGCATTTTGGTTCAACTTGTTTCTGTACTTTTTTGATGATCCCTATTCCCCTTTTTAAATCCACAATTTTAACTATATTGTTTCTTTAGTTTTTTAATGTCCATTTATGGAGACTAAATTTTAAGCTACATATGTGCATATGCATTCAGTTGAATGTTACATATTTTTCAACAGTTTACTACTTCATTGACTTTTTGCCTTCAACCATTATTTACTCAGTCAGATGGTTTTGTGCCTAATATTTCTTGTAAACACATGTTTAACAAGCATTGTGTATAATTGTTTGTTTGGAATTAAGCACAAAGCTACACAATGGGCTATCTGTGCTCTGCCCACCATGGGTATCGAAACCTGCTTTCTAGCACTGTAAGTCTGCAGACATACCGCTTTGCCAATAGGGGGCGCATTGTGTATAAATGAAATTGCTCACACCAACATCACATATATTATGTATATAGCTGTGTAAATCAACTTTCGATGAAAAATAATTAACTTTTTGAATAGGTCATGAACATTTGCAGCATTTCATATATCTGTCTAGGTTTTGGTGCAAAATACTCAGCCGATTTTGCTGTAGGCTCATGAAACAAAAATATAAATAATAATAATACTAAAATATACACTCACAATTTCAGCAAAGTACAAAAATCAGTAAAATAAATCACCACTCACAAGAGTAGAGAAATCTACTATAGTAATCGTCTACTGTTAGAATACTCCCCAAAACAGTCACACAAAAGCAAGCTTGAGAAAAAACAAAGACAAAAAACTCAAGAAATGAGGAATCCTCAACATGGCAGTTCCAGTTAATGCACTGTAAGTTGCACAAATTATTTTCCAATTAATGCACATTAGTAAAACACTGGATTTTTTCAATGGTGGAAAATGAAGAACTTGGAGAAATTCTTCAGGGTGAAAGAACAACTTCCTTTGTAAGAACTGATCAACATAGCAATTTGTTTTTGTTACAATGTGATCAAACATAGCAAGTGAAGCAAAGGGGTTAGTATAATACATCAGGGG